TTTCCCTCATCATCCTCTCTGCAGCCTGCAACTGTTTCACAAACACACATAAACACATGTTAATAATGTGACAAATGTGAAACGGCGCCCGGTTTATTACCCGTGTTCGAGGCCATGCTACGGATGATTTGGTCATTACAGCATGCAGGAGTTGCTGCATGCTCCTCGGTGCTTTTAATCGGTTACTCGCAGGTGATTTCAGTATGCTCCTAATGAAGGCGTGATGCAGATGGCAGGCAGGTGATGGACTGTAAAATAAAATAGCAAATAGGCCTCAATGTGCCGATCAATGTAACATATTAGAAGTAGCGCTGACCACATAGCCTACTCTAATGCTTACTTGGTTTAGAGTAAATCTGTCATGTCAAACTGACAGTAAAACATACGTCAATGAGGTAATTGAGAAGAGAAAGGTAGTATCCAAAAAACAAGTGGTGCAGCAGTCCAAATGCAATCGTTTGATATTATTTAAATATATTTAAAGAGTTTTAATTGTTTAACTGGAGAGATTAATGCGCTGTTGCATTTCAGACATTCGGGCTCCTTTGTATTATATTCCTGCACCATAATAGTAATTAAACGGGAAACATTATTTAAATGTTTGTTACAATAAAAACTCTGGATTTGTTTGTAATCTTATTTAAGGTCCAAATATTTCCTGCTTGATATTTAAAACTAATCGTGCCTAAATTGAGACTGGCTCTTTAAGAGAAGTGTCGTCATATTTAGGGGCGTAACCCCGGAAGAGCTTTTCAGCAACATTTCATCATGCTTCGACGTGCTCTGTGGCTGTGAAATGACATACTCGTGGTTGTAGCTTTGGTTTTATGAAGTCGGTTTGTAACATCGCAGTTGAATTAATCAAATATAGAAGAGCTCACAGTTCAACTGCGTCTCGTTGGCTCCGAGAAGAGATGTGTAAAGAGCTCAAGACCAAAGTGTTACGGTTACCGCCGCCGACAGCGCATCAGGAGGGCCACACAGGTAGGCTAAATATGTCTGTCACTCGTATGTCCCTTCGTGCCTGAAGGATTTGAAATTGGGTCTCTGACGGGTTTTAGCTACTGAAGTAAGATTTGAGTATGATAAGTGCCATTAATTAGCGTAAACTGCAGTGCGACACCTCAGACTGCAGTTTAAGCTTTTAGTTCTGGTCACTTGCAGTTTTTAAGCAGAGATCTGCAGACATGCAGACTTTATATTATAAGTCCAGAGATTGTAAACAGTGAAGTTATATTGTCCAAACAAAGTTGTATGCCCAAATGTTTGTGGACATTCGCAGACATACGAGGCCATGGTATTTCCATAAGGACAGTTGCCATACAGTTGCATTTTGCAGTGTCTCAACTGTTTTCCCCCAATTTTCAACAAGTCTGACCATTATTTTTTATCAAGGCACAATTAAATAAAGCACCAAAGACATGTATACTATACATGTTGATGTTTTTATTGCTCAGGATTTATGAAAAAGTAGAGATGAGGTTTTTAATATTATTAACCAGAACAGGAGAAGGGATTTTCTATATTTACATTTGTGGATCATCTGTAAAATTGGCCATAAGTATGATAAGACTGATCAGATAGGATTTGTGTCATACGTTTCCCACTGTGGTAAAGGAAACCAAACAATGTTTACCTATTTCAAAGAGAAAAGAAATTTGATCCCAGAAAGAACAGCTAGAACTTCCAAAAATGGCACTGTATTGACATTTTCAACATATTTGAGTGACACTCTGGGAAATGTAAAAAAAAATAGCCCTAAAAGATCATTTGTTTTTAAAATCACTGAATCAGAATTGGCTTTAATCGGCAAGTATGTTGAGCATACAAGGAATTTGTTTCCGCCACAGAGTCTCTGTGCGTTTTAGGCAACAGGCAATATTGTAGTACAATCAAAGGTAGGGTGAGAGGACGAGGAGAGACAGTGTTCATAAACATTATATACATACAGTATATACACATTTTGAGCTGTCCAACTGGTGCATGTAGCGGTACTATTTACATTTATTGAACTGTGGTGGTTGCTGAGTCCTGTTGCTTGAGTTGAGTGATGGTCCAGGGGAAGAAACTGTCCTTGTCTGGTTGTTTTGGCGTACAGAGACCTGTAGCACCATCCAGAGGGGAGGAGTTCAAACAGTTTGTGTCCAGGATGTGAGGGCTCTGCAGAAATCTTCTCTGCCCTGGACATCAAGACAACTGATGCGTAATTAGTCGTCAGGAATTAGGTTCAGCAATGGCCAATTTTTTTTCTTTTTTTTTTTTTTTTGGTTCTTTTCAGCACTAATCAGTGAAAGGCCAGCACAGTTTTACCGGGGTGGTGGAAAGGCAGACCTTTATTTTGTAAATGTGTATTGTAGTTCTGAGGGTTTTTTTTTTTCCTTGTAAGCATAAAACAGATTTGTGAAAGAGTTTTTAGGATTGTGTCTAAGGGCAGATCACAGTTTCCCATTAGTTACAGACTGAGGCTACAGCAGGTAGCAGTTGGTGATGCTGGTGGATGTTACTGCTTTGTCCAACCAGTTTATATCAACAAGGGTGAACAAAAAAAAAAAAAAAAAACACCATCAGAACTTAATTGTTTGTTGTTTTTCCCAAGAAAACTGCCAAAAATGTGCTTTGTCAGACTCCAGGTTTTCAGTTTTTCTTTTCATGTCTTTGCAAACTGCATGTCTGCGGACTTTTGGATTGTTGGACATGATCGTGGAAATATTACTGCACCTTATTGAAAGTTTTAAGTTCAGGTGGTTTTATCCTTCATGTTTGGGTGTTATGTCTTGCTGTGGATGGTGCCTCACTGACCCTCCTTGTTTTTGAACTGCAGATGGTGCTGAAGTCCTGAGTTGCACGGTGAAGGCTCTGAAGGAGGGCCACGTTGTTGCTCTGCCTACTGACACCATCTATGGCCTGGCCTGTCTGGCCCAGGACTCCGAAGCCATCAGAAAAATTTATGACATCAAAGGAAGAAACGGGCAGAAACCACTGGCGATTTGTGTAGGAGAAAGTCAGGACATCTATAAGTGAGTATGTGCACGTGTCTCTGCTCTTTTACCACTAGGACGTGGATCTGGGAACCTGCTGCTGTTGGGTAGATTGTGAACAGTGATCATTTCTGATAGAGCTACAGTTTGAATGCAGATCGATTTGCATATCAGCGGTAACTGCTGTGATTTGGTGTCGGCCTCTCAGTGTGTGTGCTGGTTTTCCTCTAGACCTACTATTTTAGACATATTAGTCATACACAGTGAAGTGATACATAGAAGAGGCAGCAATACCATCCCCACACCAGCAAGACACATTTTATATTTTGAGTGAGAAGCCCACCTGCTGTCTCTCTCTCTCTCTCACACACACACACACACACACACGGTTTCATTAATTCATTTGCTAAGTAACAGTTTCATACCCACATGCAGCCACATATCATCTCCCTGAGGGCTGGTAAAAATTAGGCACTAAATCACTAAACATTACAAGCAACCACTGGATGGTGGGTCCATTTGAAAATTGAATTACATTATTCTGGACTGAACTAGGGCTGCAAATGATGATTGTTCATTGTTGATAAATGTCATTGTTTTTCAATGAATCTTTGTTTATAAAGGTCAGAAAATGGTGAAAATAGGTTTGCCAGAGCTCAGGTTGATGATATCGGTGCAGTCACACAACACAAAGCAATGCAACAAACCCAAGAAGCTGTGTTTGGCTTCTTTTTTTTTTTTTTTTTTTCTAGAAAATTAAACAATGACAGTGGCTAACAAAATAAATGTAGATAATGTAATCTAGATGTCACTTTTTGACTAATCAATTAATGAACTAAGCCTTTAAGTTGCATTTCTCAGCTGATGGTGTCCCACCAGCTTCATCATGGCTCGGTTTTCCTTTTTCTGTGCCCAGGTACTGTAAGGTGAAGGTGAAGGAAGAGCTTCTAGGTGACCTGCTGCCTGGTCCTGTCACACTGGTGTTTGAAAGGTCTGAAGTGCTGAACACAGATCTCAACCCCTTTACCTCAGTAAGATCACTCCTTTAAACCGATGAGCACTCAAAACAAAGAAATTTGGTTTCTAAATAAAAGTCAGTCTTATTTTCATCTCCACGTCCTTCAGCTTGTCGGCGTACGTATCCCAGACCATGCCTTTATGAGGCGCCTCTGCCAGATGTGCGGGGAGCCACTCGCACTTACCAGCGCTAACATCAGCTCACACATCAGCACTGTGGAAGTGCATGTAAGTGAAATGATGCATGACAAGTTGAGAGATGAATTTTTCAGAGCCTTACATGCCGTTTAAATTTTTATTGAAATCCCATTTCTCAGCAGCTGTAATTGGGTCAAAATGATGTTTCTCTTTGTTTTATGGCTTTATTGTTTAAAGGATAAGGCCGGGCATTTTTTATATTAGTAGTATTTTCATCAATCTCCATACAGGAGTAGAAACAATTCATTGTCAGTTTTGGCCTCTGTATGGAGTATGCTGAAAATACTATTAATATAGAAAATGACCGGCCTTATCCTTTGTGTGCAACATTTCTTTAATGTTTATGGCTGCTGTGTTTTTCTTCTGAAGGAGTTTCAGGATCTCTGGCCCAGAGTAGCTCTGGTGGTGGATGGTGGACCAATCGGAGACCAGAGCCGCCTCGGATCAACAGTGGTCGACTTATCAGTACTCGGCAAATATCGCATCATCAGACCTGGCTGGTAAGTTCCTGCTGTTACTGGGACCCAGTTAGCTTTCACTCCCTGCAAATACACGTGCCCTTTTTTTTTTCTTCCTCTTTTTTCTAAATCTCAGAAAAAAATCTAATCAACTGATTTCCCACAAAATTATTTAAATGATATAAATGTTTAGCAAAGAAAAACTCCAGATTTAATTCCTCAAACAGCAGCCAGTTTGGCCTCTGCACCATTTACTGGTGGCTACATGCGCACAAGTGCAAAAGATACAGCCGCATTTCCATTCAGCAGAATTACCCCAAAGATGTGCCCAGATTGTAAAACACTTGTAAACTAGTTGTAAAGCATGAAAAACTCCTGCACTCTCTCGCTTAGGTGAAATAATTTAAGAAATCCACGTTTCGGTCCATCTAACCTTGAATGTCATTATCCAGGTCTGATAATTACAAGCTCTTTTCTCTTAATTGTGAGATAATGCAGGGCTTGGATCACTACAGAAACAGAACTTGGCTGAAGATCGACACATTTTAACCTTCTTTAGTATCAAAGCAATTCTGTGATAGTCAGTACATAGCAAAAGTGAACTGTTAATAGCTATTTTGGAATACTTGGTGCTCCAAAATGTAAGCAAATATGAGCTAAAACAGGCTTTAAAGCTGCTGTATACAGTGTAACTCACTCTATACATGTACAGAGCAGGAGTTGAGTCAGTTATACACTGACCGACCACTGCAGTAGGCACACCTGTACAATTCCACCTTAACAGCTGTGTTTTTGAAGCTCAAGACATTTGTCATAAATGTCTAAATTTCAATTACATGTTTATTACTGAGTTAAAGGTGGTGTTGTACCGGACTACATTCTATTCAGATGTCTCTATATTTTTATCCTCCCCAGCTACATACTTTGAGAAGGTCAGAATATTAGGAACATCTCTAAATACAACGTATTCCAGTACAATACCACATTTAACTACGACCTTATAACTTCAATAATAAACGTATATAATTAAATTTGTACATTGACAATTTCACCAAAAACAATCTTGTAGCTTCATAAATACAGATAAGGTGGAAGTGTTGCATTGCATACAATTGTACAGGTGTGACTATTAAAGGTAGCTCAATTTTGAAAGTATCCAACTGAAGAAATCCCACCCTTTTGTTCTGACTTCTCTACAAGGCCACTCTTCCAAAACACAACGTGCACTGCAGCACGCATTGCCTGACTACTACTCCAGGAAAATAACATTCTCCCAAACAAACCACAGCTGATAATTACCTGTCGAAAAGAAATATGGACACCATGGCATCACTTTTCAGCCCCTTTTGTTCTCTCAGTTGTGGCTGTTGTTCAAAAGCCACACCAATATGGCCCGTAGCCGGTAACTAGCCTTAGAAGTCAGGGCTTTTCAGCCAGGGAGAAGTGATGGGAACATAGGCAAGTAACGTGAACAGGCTTCAGTTTACTACACTGTCTTATGGTTGTTGCTGTGTTTATTCTCTTACTGTGAAGGAGACGGCATTAAAAAGAGAAACTAATTCTGTTTTCAGTGCCCTTTCTTCTACGGTTGATGTGCTGGAACACAAATATGGACTGTTGTTCTTGGAAGAATGACCTTTGAACTCTCCACACCACACGCCGAGATGCACAACCAGCTTTGGCCTGGGGCTTCTTTGGAAAAGATTCATTTATCTTTCCCTGGACAGACTAGAACTCGGGAACAACTTGAGTCTTAAATTTCAGATGGCTGATTTTGTTCTGGCGGCTACTTTAACATCTGGAGTTGCTTTATTTTGATGATCACATGTGTTTACCGTGACTGCATTATGTTGAGTTATAATGTTACAACCCCACACAATTGTGACCTAAAGGCAAATTAATGCTTTCCACATACACTCGTATAGACACAGGCAAGGGGCCGCATGCATTTATATTTTAGCCTTCTGTCCATGTGCTTTCAGGGCTTTTTGTTCAGCTGACAATCCGCACAGACACAAACGTTTGGCCTGCACACGGACATCCACACAGAGTCCTAGCAGACCGAAATTTACATCGCTGAACGGTAGACACACAAATGCAGTTAAGTGTCGCGGTTCTCTACCATTTTAACAAGGGTAGCTATAGTACAGATTTTCTTCTTGTTTGGTACCTTTTTTTTGTATTGTCGAAACAATGAGGCTAAACTACACATACAATGGTTTATTTTTGACATCTAAATAATGGCTAGAAGTGTAGTAAGCATCTATTTTATGGCCTGAATGAACAGAGGGAAGGCAGATGTTTGAATGGTATTGCCTATAAATGCATTTTTAAATGACAAAATGTCGTATTTATTTTATTCTTTGTCAAACATGGCAAGGCTTGTACTATACAACTGGCAACTTAAACTTACAAGTCAGAAATTCAGTTATATTTCACAGTTGTGTTGGTTAGCACCTGAACTGAGTGAATGTATGGTTTGAAATACATCAGGTCACTAGCAAGTTAAAAGTGCAGTGTGTTTTGTTTTGTTTGTTTGTTTTTTTTTTTTTGTTGTTTTTTCACATACATACACACACACACAAAGGTTGTATAATCTATCAAAACATGATCAGGTTAAAATAATAAAAAAACAACAACAAAAACAAACAAACACTGCACTTTTAACTTGCTAGTGACCTGATGTATTTCAAACCATACATTCACTATATAAAGGTTTTTCCCTCCATAAGCATCACAGTCATGACTGTTCTGAGATGGGTGTCAAGATTTTAATTGATTTTTGATAGTATGAAATAAAAAGTCACTTAGCCCTTCACATTGAAATGTTTTAGTTTAATAAACAGCAGGATTTTATCAAATCTAAATTCAACAAATCCAGAGTGCCCCAGTCAGTGGTATGTTTTATCCAAAACACTAAGCCCCGGTCATAACACTTCTGATTTGGTTTACATGGCCATGATGAATATGGCATCTGTCAATAAAAGGAAAGACACCAGTAAAAGTCAAAATTATCAGGCAAGTATAAGGGAAGCTTGAGTAAAATGTTTAGTTTTATGCTTTTGCTACCTTGAGGCCAAGTTAATTAACTGCGCTCTAACAGCCTGCCTGACTTACTTTACTTGCCAAATGGACTGGAATACCCCAGCACCTTTGTCAATTAGCACAGTGGAATGGATTAGTTCTAAATTGCATTATACAGTATATATACTTGAAGGGTAATTTATTTGACTTACCAGCTAATTTTTATTTATTTTTTTTTTTCACCACTGGAACCTTTAACAGTTGCAAAAATCTGAAATGATATGAAACCATATTTAAATATATTGTATGACTTGAAATGAAACAGCATAGTTCCACATATTAGGAAATAAATGTGCTCTTGCCAAGAGTTTACCTGTGACTCTGTGGTTACTGACTCCATATAGTTACTTCACCTGGCCAAGAAATAGTCCAGCAAATAAGCCCTTATAAAACTACAATTTGACATTACATTAAGCTTTTTGTGCAGTGTAAACACATTTTAGTTTGTAAACTTTAGAGATGCTAGTAGGCCGATTGTTAGCAATGGGCAGAACCAGGCTAACCATTTGACTCCTTATGCCAAGTTAAGCTGCTGGTTGTAGCTTCATATTCAAGGGACAGGTATGAGTGGTGTCGATGACCTATCCACTGGAAAGTTTATCCAAAGATACTGAACTATTTCTTTAACTTTGTAAGACACAGCATCCTATTCTTGCAGCTATACAGGAAGGCAACAAAGGAAAACACAACATTAAATGTCTTAGCAAGGTGTTGAGCACCGTGTGCTGCCAGAACAGCTTCAATGCATCATAGCATTGACTTTACAAGTCTCTGAACTCTGCTGGAGGGATGAAGATCCTTCTTCTAAAAGCTATTCCCTCATTTTGTGTTTTGATGGTGGTAGTGGAGAGTGTTGTCCGATACATCAGTCCAAAATCTACTGTAGATGCTCAGTTGGGTTGAGAGCTGATCATTTTTATACTCATCAAACCATTCAGTGACCCCTCATGCCCTGTGGGTGGAGGCACTGTTCTGGAAGAGACTGCTCCTTTGTCACCTGTCTGTATGTACACACACTTATAGAAACTCGCACATCTAGGCAAGTTAAATGTAAATGCATGTCCTTGTGCGCTCATATCTATACTGATCAGTTTCTACATTCGCTACACTTTTCTACGGTCTTTCATGTGCACACGCACCTCCTGAAGCATGCTGCTTCAAGTCACTTTGAGGAAAGCTCACATGAGCCACTGCTCCTTCTCTTTATTAAACTCCTCCGCCCAGTGGCGGGTTAGCTCCAGGTAGTGATCAGGTCCATGTGGCTGATAGTCCAGATAAACACGCGTCACTGTTTTCTTAGGCATCGCCCTCTCTATCTGTGTCCCCTCGTGCCACTCATTAAAAGATGTGATAGCGATGATCTCCGGACGCACGTTCAGTGCCGCCTGCAGGGCTGTTTCGTAATAACGACCATTCACACGGTTGCGTGTGTTGTGGTTGTTCCATGGGCGGATGCTGGTGTCAATATAACCAGGTCCCACGCTGGGTATAAAGAGGAGATTGTTGTCATCACAGAAAGCTTTGATGGCCTTCCAGTTATGGTGAGAAGAGCCAAAGGAAAAGCCATTGGACGCAAAATAAGTGTACATGCCATCAAAGCCACCTGCAAGGATGTCATGCTTGTGGCGCTCCTCCACAATCAGGGCAATGAAGATGGAGTCGTATGCTGAGCCGCGTACACTGTGAGAGCCAGTGGGAGTCAAAAATTCAGACCAGGACTCTGGAGGAGTTAGATAGGAGTCATAGATGTAAAATAGAGGAAGACTCTTCCCTGTGCTGGAAGTAAACTTGTAGAAGGCCCCGTGGTCACCGTACCTTTAAATGCAATGACACAACAAGACAGTAAGATGTAAGATGGTGCAGAAATAATTAATTAATGATCAGTTGAACCAGTCAAGAGCATGCAATGTTCTTTTCAGAAACATGGATCAACCTGATAATTTTCCAAGGCTTTTTCCTGAGTCTGGTGCTAGAGAAAAGAACGTAGGGGTAATTAAAATCAGCTCAAAGGGGTTAGACCCCTCAGAATTTCTGATGTAGTTAACAAATGCCATTGTAATCTGCACAGTGGATTGGTATATACTTTATATTGTGTTTCAAGATGACAGTGGGGCATCAGGATAATACAAGAGGAAAGGTTATGCTGAACATGGAAAAAAATGTATTTGTTTATATAATACGTTCATATAGCATCAATTCTAAACTGTACCGGAAACCAGTGAAGAGACTGAAGAACAGGGGTGATATGAGCATACTTTGGAGTATTTGACACTAGGCGAGCAGTTCTAGACGAGTTCAGTACTAGTTGGAGCCTACGGAGGAGAGACTGGTTAATTCCAGTGTAGTGGGCGCTGAAGTAGTCAAGTTGAGAGCTAATGAAAGCATGAATGGCTTTTTCTAGGTCGAGTCGAGATAAAAAGGCTTCACCTTTGCTAAGAGCCTCAGTTGAAAGAAGCTTTTTTTGACCACAGAACTAATCTGCTTGTCAAATTTGAGGCTGCTGTCAAATAACACTCCTAGGTTTTTCACAGTTTGAGTGAATAAAGGCGCTGAAACTGCTAGGCCGGGTACAATGTGAGTAGAGTCCAGGCTATAAGCGATGTATTCAGTCTTCCCCTCATTCAAACGAAGGACGTCCTGTGTGAGCCACTGTTTAATATCATGCAGACACCTGTGCAAGGGGGCTAGTGCATTGTTATCACTCTGTATCAACGGTAAAACAAGTGGACACTTGTGGCCTGATGGTGCTTACACCACTTACATGATAAGGCCAGTCATTGTCTATATTAACACTATTTTCAGCAATCTCCATCCAGAGATTAAAACCATCAGTGATTTGCTTCTACTCATGGTTAATGTTTGTCAGTGTGTCAGTCTTGGATCAGCTTATTCGTCTGTGCCACAGACCTCCGTTGTTGTTCTAAACCAATTAAAAACACTTCTTCAGTAGCAAACCTCAGACCTGAGTGTGAGGAGCTAGCGGAATATAAACAAAGCTGAGAGCTCAGGCAAGATTTCACGCATGTGCAGTTGACTCTGACTCCTGCTAATTTAAGGAAATTATGGCTGCACAGAGACTTTGGGGCAACAATTTCCTGAAGTTAGCAGGAGTAAAGCATTTGTACTTAAGTCTGTTCTGTGTTGCACTGAGGTCTACAAGAAACAACATTGCATTCCTGTATGCACATCATGTACATGCATGGAAATGACTATAAACCTGAGCCTGACAGGTGCCCCTTTCACTTTGACTCCAATACCAAAGGTTGGAAAAACTGCATTTGCTTCAAAATTCGAGTCATGAAATTGGCCTTATATAATCAGACATGCTTTCTTAAAGTATTTTAGTTTTGAAAACTGTTCTCTCAACTACACATGACATCTTAACGGTGTCCTATGTGAGCTGACACAGCAATGGAGAAAGTAGGACAAGTGCCTACCTGTCAATGATGTATTTGATGTTGTCATGCACACTCTGGTCGCTTCGCCCTCTGTATGGTTGGATGTGAAATGCAACCTAGGAAAATATGAAAAAAGACGCATGCCTTGTTGGTTTCCATTCATCATGTTACTGCCATTAAAAAAAGATGTCACAGTCAGCACTTACAGATAACCTTAGCAAGTACTGACTATAAATATACAGTTTTCTCAGGGGAAAGGTCTCACAGAGGGCTGACAATCAGTGTTTGAGAAGTAACAAGAAAATAGCTAAATCTTTACATTAGAGTGAAAGGTTGCATCTACAAAAAAGAAAAAGGTTATGTTTAAATTGTGTAAAACAAGTTGGTCATAGGTCATTTGACATTATGTGGTCCTTTAGTATAACATGACATCAGGTGCCATGTTACTGACTATATCTGTAAATAGATTTGAAAAAACTGACTGTAAAGAACCATGTTATCACTCTAGTTCACTTTACTGACATTCTGTTATAGTGTAGATGTCTTTCACACTAAATATTGCCCCTCTGGGCACTTTGTAATGCTTAGCTAATGGCTCTGCAGCTGACAAGCAAAAGCAGCAGAGGAACAAGGGACCTGAAGTGACTCGAACAGAAAAAGTTAAATATTTTAAGACACACAATTCAGTGGCTTTGAATAATGCAAGATAAAAGTGAAACTCTTTTCTCCTCTAGCTGTGGACACCCAGGGGGAACAATATGAAGGGAAAATGGCTTTTTATGACAATGGAGGCCAACAACTAAATGGATATAAAATGCCATGACCATAATTGTACTATTAGATTAAAGCGAAGTTTGGAATAGACCATAACTTAGCAAA